AGCAACTTAGCAGAACCGGACTGACAGAACAAGAACACTGGACAATTCCATTTGACGTCTGCCTACATGCTGGAATCAATAACAGTATGGGTGATTGTAAATATCTATATAATGCTACAACAGCAAATAATACGCAATCAATAACCACTGAATTGATAATAAACAGCACATAAAGACTAGAAAATGATTGTGATTATTCATGTATGCTGATCTTTATATATAAAAGCCTCTGCCTGCCCATTCTTCTTTATACCCAACACCCTGTGATTGCATTTTATCCATCATGTTAAAGGAAAAACACTATTTTATATCAGCTATTTTAATTGTTAACATGTTTCATCCATTCAGATTAGGAACTAGCTGTGAACATAATTTTTACCCTCAAATTTTAAGTGGTATTTAGCATTTCATTCCCACACTCATTCCAAAGCCCAATCTAACACCCTTATAAGTAACTAAGTTATTTTGGATGCTTGCCCTTAACTGACTTAATATGGAACTGAATGAATTTAGTGCTGTCTGTCAACATTAATGTTCATGAAAGCGTTCCTCAGTTGTAGGTTGTAATAACTAATTCAAATAGAGCAAGTCTAATCACAAAGGAAAAGAAGTTCCACAGAAGTACGAAAATGCATGTGTGAGAGCAGATAAAGGCCACAGAGATTGGATTTAAAGAGGAGGGTGGCATCTTTATGCATGAGGGGTTGAGATATGAGCAGGCACATACTGGGAAGATTCATGCTCTCTCAATAGCCTCACAAACCCCTCTGACATCCAAAACTGCATTCAGACTTATATACACGTTTTTCTTAATGACCATTTAAGATTTGGATCTATGAAAAGTAGACTTTCTGATTTAATCCTAATCATATGGATCTATATGAGCACTGACTCTTGACATCAAACTAATTCACTAACTGTGGCATTCTTGTCATTTATTGATTTGAAGGTTTGATATGTAACAGCAGACAATTAACAATCAAAACTATTTAAAATGCAATGAAACTGCCATTCTGAAATAGTTCAAACAAGGACATACTAATAAAATACAAAGTGTATAAACTGTCCATATGTATAAAATACCACTGAAAAAAGCAAACAGCAAACCTTTTAAATGAAGCAAGTTGCTGGCTCTTTAGTGTGTCATTGTGGATCAGGAAGAGGGTCATCACAGATACTTGAGACTGTAATTCAGTCCTCTCTGGATGAAAAAAAGACAATCAAGCTTAACTGTTACGTGCACCATATTCAAATAGGGACGTTCTCAAACTGAGAGAGTAATATGAATAGAGAACCAAATGAGTAAAGATGTAAAACACTCCTTAGCCATGTAAAATTTTGATTAGCTGTCTAAATATCTCTTTGCTGCATTTAGACTGTCACAGCTTTTGAGATTATTTTATGTTGTAGTTGTAACTCAGTCTGTTCGCAGTCTAAAAGGGACCGTTTAAGCTTCATACTACGTTTCATTCAAATATTTTAATATTTTTAAGGGCTGTCATTTAACATGTTGAAATAGTACAATTAATTATTCATAAAATAATAAGATAAAAAGTAACACATTTAATCACTCCTCCAGACTTGTACACAGTTCTATAAGAAATTTTAATTGTATTAAATGGTCATATGTTTATTATGTGTATTAACTTACTTAACCTAACCTAATAACAAAACAAAAGAAAAAAAACAAAAATGTTTTTTACACATTGCAATAATTAACCCACATAAGAAGATAATTCAGAGACATTACATTAATGCATTAATCAGTGTATCATTTTGTAAAATGCACAAGACAACTCTAAACCCTACGGATCAGAATAGATTTGTGAATAAATGCTCAGTGATACCTGCTGGTGGATTCACTGAGTTCTGCAGCACTACAGTACAGTGAATCGAGAAGGCAACAGAGACAGACAACGGGTAAAAACGGGTGACTTAGCAACTTGATTTGTGGCCAAGCCATAGCAGCCAATAGGGCAAAGATGTCACAGCAATTGATATTCGACTATATTTGGTTTCCACTTCTATGCCCTTTCATGGTGTTTGGTCCCAGCAGGGTGACGGATGGATCTCCAGCTCCATATGTCAGCAGTCCTATAGGGCCATGTGAGCACCATACACAAGGGAAACCAGAAAGTCAGCTCAGCATAAAGGTGCTACGGAAGTATTGGCATCTGCAGCCTTGACACCCCTAAGCTGAGGGGTACAAACACAGTCCATATAGTTTCACCTCACCAGCCAATGTTTTTTTATTGCAAAAAAGATAGATAGATAGATAGATAGATAGATAGATAGATAGATAGATAGATAGATAGATAGGGTTATTTTAGGCTGGATTCACTCTGGGATGTTCTGAGGCAATGAATTTCACGGTCATAACAAAGAACAGAAATGAAGAAGGGTTGCTTGTGTTTTCAAGCTTCACATTTCTGATTCATTCTTTTAACAGGCTCTAATGCATCTTTCATAAGCCAGGCTCTGTACACCAGAAGCCCAAAGATAATTGCAGAGGTGAGTGTTTAATCTCACGTGTTTTCCCCTGAAAAGATTAAAAAGAGCGAGACCTTTATCTCCTTAGGAGACGGTGGTATCAGAGGTGTCATCCGCTGAGAAGATGAATGACTCCAGCTGAGGTAATTTGATGGTCAGGAGCCACAAGTAATTTTTCATTCAGAATGAAATTTCTCATGTGGTGCCTTTTCATCTCGAGTTTACAAAGGAAAAAACCCTTTCAAAAAAGAAATTTCTTCAGCACCCTGCTGAATGGAATTTCCATGCTGGTCTGAGATGGTTTATACAGGTTTGGTGCTGGTCTGAATTATTCAGATTTAATTAAAATTTAATTTAATCAAATGTATTTATAATTTAATTAAAAATACATTTTCTTAAAATATTTTCATATTTTATTCTTGTTTGTAATGCTGGAGGAACAAACATTACACTGTTTAAATTTTAAATGCTTAATTAGAGTAGGTGTCATGTATATAATGTACATACTGTAGGCTATTCTCCATTATCACATTAAGGTATGTGGTATTTACCATTATAAGCCAGCTTTAAAACATTAATATGAAACCTAGCATATGTTATAAGCACATCTCTTGCTCTCATGATTTTGGATCTCCTTCATTCCTTCAAGTACACACACACACACACATCTGTGCACTGAAGCAAAGCCTTAAAGTGGTTAGTACTCCACACTGAGAAAAAGAGAGAGAGAAAAAATAACTAACATAAACAAAGCCAGAAAAAACCTCCATCCCCCTCTCTGATCTCTTAGATCCTCCTCTTTCTGCTCCGCTTCTCAGTGGGCTTACCACACGCCATCTCCCTGCCTTCAGATGCACTGCTGGCCCTTTAAATCCTCTCCATTATAATTCCTGAAGCGAGCAGCTGGCCATAAAAAAGAGCAAGAAAGAAAGGGAAAAGCACATAGTCTTTTCAAATCACAAACCCAGACATACAGACATGCTTGCTCTCTCACCTATTCTCCCTGACATCTGAGGGTGGGGGGCCACTGTGGAGGATTTTCCAGCCAGCAGAAGTGAGCAGGGAGGAAGGCAGAAGAAGTTTCTTCACAGACAGACTCGGATCACTCTGCAAGACAATGCATTCCTGTCGAGTTTTACCTGCTCCTCTTTGGATTTGGTAATTCTGTAGACTGTAAGTTCTTCAAACGGTCTGAGAGAGAAAGAGAGACTGACAAGAGAATGCTCCCTCAGGTCATAAGGATTTTATACATCTTGTCTTTTTTCTTTTTCCAAGGGGGCTTTATCAGGTAAGACAAGTAGTGGTTTTGCATAGCATGCATGTATTTGTTGTGTGGTTCTTTGCACAGTGTATATTGTGAGAAATGTCATATTGATTTATTTTCTTCTTTTCTTAAGAGTAATAGTTGGGAGAGATTTTGGGTCAAACATGCAAAAAATGCATTACTCTGCTTGGACGTAAACTAACTCTATGTTGTATCTGGAAACTTGAGTTGAAAGCTTAAACTAGATGAGAAGAGTTTTCTTAGTTTATGTTTATAATTTCAAAATAATGACTGGTGAATTTAAACGTTTAAACACAGAGAACAGTCAGTCTATGGAAATGTGGTAATTTTTTAAGAAAAATGCAATGCTCCTCTCCCAATTCAAGCAAATTCAAAAATTCTATGCAGCATTTTTGAAAGGAGAGATGAAAACTGCTGAAATAATCTCTTTGTAAAATAAATAAATAAAAATTGCATGTGTGTGTGTGTGTGTGTATATATATATATATATTTATCCATTTTGTTTAGCAAAAAAAATAAAGAAAAAAAGATATTTTTATCGCCTGGAGTGCCTAAGAAACCACATAAACAATATCAAACAGCACAAAACTCATTAGCTCACAGTAAGGGTTTTGTCTCTATATTTTATTAATACACAAACAAAGCAAGATTTTGAAGAATTTGAAAGATAGAGAATCTCAGTGCTATTTAAATCATATGATAGCTTTTTAAATAAAGAAAAACATCCAACAATTTAAAGAAGCTACATACAGCAACTGTTAAAAAAGGAAAACGATTTTCTCCCTCCCTCCGTCTCTCTGTCTGAATTAAAAAAATGAAAAGTTTTGCAGCGAGTGCACTCATGTTTCATGCCCCATTGCATCCAGGTGTGAACAGGCTGGAGTTAAATTTGCATAATCCCAAAGCCTGGGTCTGCCGACGAGCATCCACTCTGAGAGAGCGAGACACTGACGGGAACTCCATCGAGAATCAGAGTAAGGGATGAAGAGAAGATGGAGTGAAGTCATTCTAGATGAAATTACAGGAACAGTGCTGGGAGTCATGATGATGTAACGAAAGGTACAACTAGTGAAGGTGTGAGAAAGGTGACAGGGTGACTGGCACAGGAACATGTTCTAGATGTTGCGGTATGTCACATGTTACATGTACACACGAGCACAGAGGCTTCGGTGTCTCTGAAGGGCCTGTAGTGTGACTTGCAGGCGGGAGATGACATCCCTTAGCGATGGCACTCACCAGCTCAGTGTGTCAACCTGCAGACACTGTGTGGGCGATTCAGAGCGGACAGAACATGGAGGCAGAGATGAGCTGTGTTTGGGCTGAGCTGTCCGACTCTGAGGTGAGGGGGCGAGAATGGCTGTGAAAGGAGCCATGCAGAGACCTGGGTAGAGATCCAGCAGGTGGCTGATTAGCAGGTAGACAGGTCACGAGCGTGGCCACAGATATCGGCAGGAACTTACAAAACATACTGGGAGGCAGAGTGATTCAGAACAGCCTCAGCATGTCTGTGCAGTCTACAGGTCAGCTGTGTGGTGATTGAGTGAAGATGAATATGAGAACGTCACTATCTGTTTTCACAGACATCTTTCGGTTTCATAATGAAAGTTTTGAACAGAGTATAACCTCAGGGAAAACATAGGAAGAACATTACCTCGAGAAAAGAGACTAGCGTAGTTTGAAAGAGCATCTGGCACTGTGTGAAATAAAGACGTCTGTCAAGGCATAAACAGTGGGATTTGTAAGGAAATAAAAGATGCTGAGATTGAAAACAAAAGGGGGTTTGCGCAGCTCAAACTTTGTGTCTAATTAATAATGAAGCAGGAAACAGTTTTCAGTGCTGGGCTGCGCACCAATTTCAGGCATGAGTACACCATTTCCACCAATTAGGAGTGTGTGCCAAATTTGACCCCAAAGTCACACCAGCACAGCTCTCAGCAGCAATACTAATGCAGAGGTCAGGGGCCACTGAGCAAAACGCTTGTTATATATAGATTCTCTGCACACACCTATTGGATATTTTATTCTGATTGGCTAACTGAATTGTGAAATATTTCTGAATAATGCCCATTGTCCACAGCAATATTGTACCTCAAGTGCTCCAGTCTCTATATGATAAATATTTTCAAATCTAATAAATATTTCACATGTAAACACATGATATAATATAATATAGGTAACACTTTAGTATAGGAACCAATTCTCACTATTAACTAGTTGCTTATTAGCATGCATATTACAAGCACATTGGCTATTTTTAGTACTTAAAAAGCACATATTCTGCATGGCCATATTCTACATCTCTAATCCTACCCAATACCTAAACTTAACAACTACCTTACTAAGCAATAATTAGTAGTTTGAGGTGAAAGTCATAGTCAACAATTAATTAATAGCGAGAACTGGACCTTAAAATAAAGTGTGACCATAACATAACATAACATAACATAACATAACATAACATAACATAACATAACATAACATAACATAACATAACATAACATAACATAACATAACATAACATAACATAACATAATATACAAGTAGCTGTGCTGATAATATATAATATAATTAATTATAATTAATATAATAGATATAGATACAATAATGTTTTCTTAGCATTTACATTTTTTTTACATTTTATATAAACTATACTCACCAAGGCTGCATTTATTTGATCAAAAATGCAGTATATTAAATTTTTTAGTGTCACTCAATCTTTCAGAAATCATTCTAATAAGCTTATTTGGTGCTCAATAAATATTTCTTATTATTATCAATGTTGAAAACAGTTATGCAGCTTAATATCTTTATGGAAATTGTGATATATTTTTCAGGATTCTTGATTCTTGATTCATGAATAGAAAGTTTAAAATAGAATAGTTATATAAAACAGAAATCTTTTGTAATAATGTAAAATACATTTTTAATAATTGTATTCTATTACAAACAAATTATAAATAATTGTAGTTAATTTTAGCCACTTTTTGCATTATTTAAAAAATCTGCTAATCAGGATTCAACAAGCAACTCTGATACAACATTGTTATTCACCCATTTTGCTCCAACAAACCAGTGCTTGCACCTCTCCCACAAATATTTGTCTGTCTACCTCAGCAGCTCTGAAAACAAAGAGAGCATACAACAGTATGCAGAGTGGTAGATGGCGGGGCATATTTAACCCAGGGTTTGCAACAAAACTGTGGGACAGCAGCACAAGTGGTTCAGTGATGTGAGCATGAACATACAGCTGAGAGGTGACAGACTGCTGTGCAGCAGTGTGAATCATTGTTCCTGGCCAATTTCTCTTACCATTGAGGTGTGAGAAAAGTGTGTGCCATTCGCTTTTTACAAAGTGTAAGTTGTACTGCATGTGGGGCACCCAAAAACTCTTGAGAGGTCTAAAAGGATGAGGGATCTTGTTAAAAGTTAAGCAGTGATAGAGAAACCAGTACATTTGTTCAGAAATGTTCCCAAACATAAATTATTCCCTTACGTTTTTGGTACTTGACTCTTAACCTGGCAAAAATGATTTTGAGCCTGAGTGCATAGCCAGTGCGCTGTGGTGAAATGAATTTCTTTCCACTGCCAGCTCCCATTCAGCACCACAGCAAGAGAAGCACAACATGAAGTGTAACTAATGCGGTTGGGCCACAGCGCCTCATTTAAATGAAGGGCCTGTGGGATTCTCCTCCTGCTCGTGGTTTGACAGATTGAAGCCCTGTTGGAAAAGCCCTACTGGAGGTTGCTACATTGAGCTATTACTTTCAGTGCAATTAAAAGCACATAAAGGAGTCTTTATGTTGTTACTAATTCAGATACGGCAAAAAAGGTTAGCGTCCAACGAATTAGCGGTAAGGGAGATGGAACATCATATAGATCGATGTTTGAAGAAATCTATACTCTATAGAAGTGTATGTATTGCATTGTTCCAAAATGTAATCAAAGGCAACTCATTACATAGGACCCTGTCTTCTATGGAAGCATCAGTACCACCACAGAACCTCAAACATGGAATGTTCATAGCAGCAAGTCTCTGCTCTGCACAAATAGTGTATGGGAGTACTTTAATGTTAGCCTGTTGCTAAGCTAGCAATACTGTCATAAGCTGTACTCACAAATATTGTAAAATATGATTACTTTTTAATTACACCAAACTATTGTAATAGCTTTTTTATAACTAAGGTTTTTAGTATTGAATTAATAAAATGTTGCATGGACATCAGACCTTCTAGGATCATAAGAAAATTCTGTACATTTTAATGTTCAGTGCATCACTTTTAAAGAGAAACAGCTTCAACCCTGTTTCACTCAACCCTGTTTCAGTGAACAAAATTGAATTTTCTTTGCACTGACTTTAGGGACTTAACTCAAACCTTTTTTTTGTTGTGATAGTGTCTCCGTTCACATTTGAATGTTATTATTCATATTTTTATTTATACATTTTATATCACTAAGAAATACATCACTATTGTAATAAGAGGATGGTACTGGTAGCAATGGTACACTACAGTAGCAAAATTACAATAATTATGTCTTCATTTCTAAATGGGGTTTACTACAACATTACTGTGATCCGAGCCATTCTAAGATGCTAAAAACAATGGATCATGAGCTGCTCGATATAAATGAACACAATGCAAAAGACTATTAACGTATATAATGAAACCGCAACCTTTAGCAATTTGATAAATGCATTAAGCCATATCGCGATTTTGATTAGTTCGATTGATGCTTTGCCAATGAAATGCAGCAAAACACAATGCTACAGATCTTTTATGCTGTTATGAGAAGTCTAAGTGCAGACTTAATGGGAAACACTGGAATATCATATCTACAAAGAATTCAGCCCTAGAATTTGGCCAAAACATATAGTGTCCTAGGAAGTAGCACCTCTGGTAAACAGCCTTTCCTTCTAATTCTGCCTCTATATTCAGCTCACTATAGGTTTTGGAACAGAGCATTTGTCTTGCCACTGTGCATGCTGGTCACTTTGTCACATCCAATGATAGTACAACAAAGTTGTTTGGCTGAAGCAGAAGATCTCATAACAGCTGGACAGCTTTGACTCATCTAATCCTGAGGGGAGATCTTTCAAAAAGATATTAGGAAACAAACAGAGGTCTTGGCAGGAGGTGCTGTTTCTAATGAAAAAATAATACAATCGCATAGCCATTGGGAGCGAATGAGCGCAATACCTGCAGATCAGGAAAATGAAGCATGCAAACAGCACATCCCCAGGCTACATGACACAAGGTCATTTACTTTAAGGATGGATAGTAAACACAAGTAACAACAACCACCAGGACACATCAGTCTCTCAGTCTCTCTCTTTATCTTTTGCTCTACTTTCCTGTTCACCAGCCTATGTCACGCATGGCTGGTGAAGCAGTTTTGGGAGGTGGGTGGGGAGAGATGGAAGTTGAAGTGGGGATTACAACTGTGCGCGTCAGATAACACAATGTCAGGGAGCGAGGCGGCACTTTTTTCGGCATGAAATGAGAACACAAGCACGCTGGAGCCGAGTAATTCCACTGAACGCTGAATAAATTATTACCCTCTGTAAGGGCACCCCTTGACTCCGGCGCACTATTGTAGAAACAAATTAAATAGTGCTAATCACAGCTTTTCAGTAAATGCCTGACTAACGCTCTGACCTCCAGACGGGCTCAGAAACTGGGCCGCGCCTACCCAGTGTTTGGTTTATTGATATTTCTGGTGTCACGGCAGTTACGAGAGCGCCGATGCTAGCGGCTGGAGATTTGCTCTGCCGGTCAGTTGCCATGACAATTCTGATTTATTGATCTATTTAGCTTATGGCCTTATCCATTAACCCTGTACGACAGATGATTTTTTCCTAATGGAAAAACGGAAGCAGCTGCAGTTTCTCAAAAGCAAAGCAGCAGTGGTCAAGGAGGATGCAAACAGCCTAAGGTCACGCCACAGGATTCAGAAATACATTCAGAATCATTAGCATGACTGACTGTCTTGACAAGGGAAGTACAACAGGTCATGAGGATGGAGCCACTGAGTCTGAATTAATGGTATTTACCGTAAAATACTATTGCTATATTTCTAAGACAAATAGACATAAGGCCATTACAGAGAAAGTTATGTCAGTTCTTGTGACTGTATGGCATCAGTCTAATAAACAATAAAATGCTCATGGTCCTAATATACGTAGGAAGCTGTTTTATTCTGAAAACAATCAAATTTTTCTATTTACTTTAGCCTACGTAAAATACTAATTTTGTTGATTTAAGGGAGTGGAACGCCACCCATGCTATAATGTATCATGAACATCAATATAGTATGCTATAGGAGTAACCGGAGCTAGTAGTC